GCTTTACAACTCACTTGAAGAACCAGGCCCAAACTTGTTTGGGAATTAGCTTGTTCTTGAGGAGTATTAACAAAAAAAAAACAAAACAAAACAAAACACAACTAACTGGCATGCAGGTGTTATATTTGTATACCTTCTTCCTGGTAATGCATAAAAGTACCACTTTCTCTGGGATACCTCAGCCAGGTGGGCAACATTAGCTTCCTAGCTGATTCTCAGCTTTCTGAATAAGCAACTGGCTGAGGCAAGAGATCTTCAGATCTCAACGGGATGGGAAGTCTGCTGCCACAGCAGACTTTCTAACCAACAGATTCTACATGGAGACTTCTGAACCTCTTTCATGGCCCATTTTTCTCTTTGTTCCTTTTGTGTTCAAACAGCAAACCTGTATAGATATATCAAAAGGAAGAGAAATAAGAAAAATAAAAAGGAAAAACAACCTAAAGGAATATAAGAAACATGGAATAAACTGAGTGGGAGCTAAATCTCTGAACTTACACAAACCAGGCATTAAAAAGCTGAAAGATTGAAGCACCTAAGCTACCTGGGCCTCAACTTCCTCATTTTACAAGAAGGGAACTCGACTAGATCCCTCAGTGACTTCCATGAACCTAATTTAAGAATATACAGCCCGCCCTAACTGGTTTGGCTCTGTGGATGGAGCGTAGGCCTGCGGAATGAAGGGTCCCAGGTTCAATTCTGGTCAAGGGCATGTACACTGCTTGCAGGCACATACCCAGTAGGGAGTGTGCAGGAGGCAGCTGATCGATGTTTCTAACTCTCTATCCCTCTCCTTACTCTCTGTAAAAAATCAATAAAAATATATTTAAAAAAAAAAAAAAGAATATACAGCCCTAGCCAGTTTGGCTCAGTGGATAGAGCATCGGCCCATGAACTGAAGAGTCCCCAGGGGTTTGACTCCCATCAAGGACATGTATCTCGGTTGCAGGCTCGATTCTGGGCCCTGGTTGTGGTGCATGTGTGAGGCAACCAATCAATGTGTCTCTCTCTGATCGATGTTTATGTCTCTCTCTCTCTCTCTCTTACTCTTCCCCCCCCCCTCCCTTCCACTCTCTCTAAAAATCAATGGAAAAAAATGTCCTCAGATGAGGATTAACAAAATAAATAATCACACACACAAACACACACACACTCACACAAACTGTATGCATGTATTATTAAGGCTAGGAATAGGCAAAAATAACTTCATTCATGAAGACCATCTATAAATGATTAGCTTTAAGAATGTTTTTTCGGTAACTGAAGTCTCCACAAAAGTATGTATATAGCTTCTTTAAAGGAGACCTCATCTTATTTTAGGAACAAAAAGCCCACAGTGACCATGACTGCTATTTTCAAACATATACATCCCTGGAACTGGAATTTTATTTGGAGAGGCCAATGCCAATTTTGCCAGGCCTTATTCTGTCTGAATATGATTCTGTCAATGCACAGAAAGGAGGCAGACATCAATGTTGACTGACCATGACTGAAAGGAAGTGACTTAATAGGACAGGAAATAAAATAGATCACAAAATATCCACCCCACCCCAAGGAGAAAAAAAAAAAAAAAAGAGTCCAAAAATAAGGGACAGTGGGTATGTAAAATGGGTGAGAACCAGATCTCCATGGGTTTCCACCATTTATCTTGAAAATGTATCTCACAGTGGGCATCAACTGTGTGACATTTATGTTAATGTTTATATTTTGGTGAAAGACCTATTTTTTTTAAACTCTTCAGTCCAACATTTATTTGCTTGCTACTACTGTGTAAGCTATTAACTGTCTTCCAAGCTTGAAAACAGACGGAAAGGAGATCATATGACCACAAAGCAAACAAAATAATGGCTCCCAGTTTACTTTATAAATATTTGGTACGTAAACTAAAAATGTAACTTCTGATGGTAAACATCTGCAACTATTACAACATACCTGAATTATAATGCAAATCTCAGTATCATATTGAAACCGGTTTCCATATTTTATCTGAGAGATTCCAAAATTTACTAAGGGTTTCCAAAAAATCACCATTCCCATATCATCTATTCTGATACCTATAATTTCTGACAAAGGGGTTTAAATTATTTCATAGGAATCTTGGTAAGGGAAGGTTTGATGGTCTCAGTGCATTACATAGAGTCATGTCAACATAAATAGGAATATGCAAGTGAAGGCATGTAGAATCAGTTTAAAAGAAATGTGTCGGATTTAAATAAACTCCTCTGTAAACATGTTAAAATACTGGCATTTTTTTCCTTTGATGCCACACCTATCATCATAAGCACTTACCCCCTAATAGTTTGAATTAGTAACAACTAAGATTATGTAGCACTTCACAATTTGCAAAGCACTATGACATACATGATCTCATTTGAGACTCACCACTAAATAGGAAGGTGCTATTTTTAGGACCCGTTTTTACATGTGAGGAAGCTGACACTAAATGGCTGACTTGCCCAAGCTCATAAAGCTGGTGACAGCTGTGAAGGGACCTGGATACAAGTCTCCTGACTTTAAATAGCCTGTTTTTGCTACTGCACTATGCTACCTCAAATACTGTAATCAGAGTAAATAAATGCCCAAATCTCAGACCCTATCTAAGCCTCCCCCACCCACACACAACCACCCCTAGTCTAAGTTACAGTTAGTTATAGAAGGTCTTTGCTCCTTATGAAAGTTGAGTTTTAATTTCTCTGGGAAATATTGATCTAGTATCAGCAGTTCTCAACCTGCGGGTTGCGACCCCTGAAAATACATCCTGCATATCTGATACTTATATTACAATTCATAACAGTAGCAAAATTACAGTTATGAAGTAGCAACGAAAATAATTTTATGGTTGGGGGTCACCACAACATGAGGAACTGTATTAAAGGGTCGCGGCATTAGGAAGGTTGAAAACCACTGATAGTTAAAGTGTAAATGCAGAGATCATATAAATACCATTAATATCCACTGGAAAATATCCTAGTGACCAGGGATTTTGCATAGGCATGCCTATATGCACCTTCCAGGTAGTAGGTCAGATTCTCAGAGTCCATGACCCTAAGAAGGTTAGGAATCCAGGCTAGAGATAGTGATAGATATCTCTCCAAGAATTGAAATCCACAAAGTTCTTAATATAAAGAGTTTTATTTAGGCCTCATATTGTGCCCCACTTACCTTCTGTCTCCCCTGCTCCAGGGCCAATAGAGTCAATTAGTATCTAGAATTGTTTTTTAAATTATATATAAAACCTAAAGCAACTGATAACATATAAATCAATGAATTGTAAAAAAAAAAAAAGAAATTTAAATTAAAATGTTAAAATGTAATCCTTAATCATACTTTCTCTTATGACATAACTTCCCAGAATGACTGTTTCCTTACCATAAGCATTCCAATTCCGAAAAGAAGTTTGACAAACATTACTTTGAACTCCTGAAATACCATTCTTCACTAAGAACCCTCTAAATTACACAGAAGACAAGGTAGCATGCAAGGAATTCTGAATCTGTTAGGCAGTTCACTCAACAATCATACCAAAAGGATTTAGAATTTTTTTGCTGGGGGGAGGGAATGGATAAGAGTGGGAGAGAATGAATACAGCCCTATTGTCTTACTGCTTGAAAACTCCTAATTTGAATCTATAACATATTCCTACTAACCACTCAACTTGAACATCACAAGTACAGTCTCTTCTCATCTTAAATAGAGCTTTTCAGTCCAAATCTGTATAAACAAACTTTGTCCTTCAATCTTTCAACTCCTCGGCAGTTTTTCAAGGTCACTTTTGCGAGCAACAACAGAAGCCTGCATCTAGCAACTTTGACTGCTATACCACTCCAAATGTAAGAGTCCAAAATCTAATCCCCTATCGATTCTCTCGGGTAAATCCTTTACTTAAGGGGAAGTGAGGGGAAGGCAAATCAACACCCTCCAAACTTCTCCTCTAAGAGGGCCTGCTCCCTACCCAGAGACAGTGCTGCTGGCTGCCACACTGCTCCACACTGAGTCTGCTGCAGAAATGTTCCAATGACCTTCATTCCATTCTTGCAAATAAAAAGAAAACAAAGAATTGCTTTTTAAAATCAAGTGCATCATAGATCTTTAGTACATGGGATGGAAGATTTCACTATTCACAGGAACTGGCTCGTTATTGATTAGCAACCTGCATTAGCTTCATAGGCTAAAAAGGAAAAAAATATTTCAAGGGCAAAAGACAGAGTGCCTATACTCTTAACTTTCCTATTCATAAAGTGCAGGTAAATTAGGACTTAAATATTTCATACAGAAAATGAAAAGCATTTTGCTCACATCATTTTAAAGACCTAAATCAGCACCTGACAAAATGTGTGAAATTGGTGGAAAAAGATTTGCTCTTGTCACTGCCAATACAGTGGAGAAGTATACTTCTAACCAGCATTCTATGTTAAAATGCGCATTTTTAAACAAAGATTATTACTTAACTAATTGGTCCTTATAAGACTCTAGAAGCACAGACAGGTAAATCAAGAAAGTTATGCGAGAATTTCACATTGGCATGTGGGCCTTCACCATTAGAACCTGCATCAGTGCAAATCATATTTTAACACAAATTGAGAATAGCAATAGTGTTGCTTCCATCTCTGAAAATACAGATGTCAATAAAGTGCATGGAAATAGAAAAAGTCTTACAACAACTCAGCTTATTCTGTAGAAAAGCTTCAGTGCACTTGAACAAAGGAAAATTATTTGGAAAACAGTTAAGTTTACCCAATGCAAAGAGAAAGTGCTTTGCTTCTGTATGCCCCTGAGAAATTATTAGCCTTTTTTCATGTACCTGATCTTGTTGCTCAACTAGGAAAAGAAATCCTGGTTGAAGGGCATGCAAAATCTAAACAGAGCAAGGTATTCTAGGTGCACCAAAAGGTATGCATGGAATGTAAAGTGGCCATTTTCTGAAACAGTGCAACTTGTCTACACTCTCTGAAGCTAAACAGTTTCTACCATTTTAACACAGAACAAAGAATTAAACTTACCGGGAACTGCATTAATTTTACATGTAGTTATTTATGTCTCCTCGGACAGGGAGAATTTAAGTCACTCCTATCCCTCCCCCCAAAAAGGACGGAGGAAACAAAAGGCAGCAGGAGATGCAGAAACCTGAGTCTGGAATGTCCACTCCAGTGAAAACCCGAACAGCTGTCCCCCCACCCCCCAGCAAACTATTCGCCATTTTTCTTTGTCTTTCAGCTGACCCCTGCCTCAGTGAAAAACTCCGAGGCTCCAATGAAGCCCTGCAGCCTCCTTCCACTTTAACAGTCAAAGGCATTCAATCTAGCATGCTATTTGACACCAAACCTTGCCTCCAGAGTGGTCCCATTGGCTGAACTGTTTTATTGGCTAAGAACACAAAGCCATGATTGGCTGTTCACGTCATCAGTTACCTCCTTTGCACACTTCCTGTTTTAAAGTTACCTTGAGAAGCAGAACAGGGGTCAGATCCAGACTTCAAACTACAGAGAACTTAAAGCTTGGAAATCCCTAGCAAATGCACACAGCAGATGCAGTAGGGCCTCAAGTGCTTCCAAAACAGAGAATACTGCAAATTTAGAATTGTTTTTAAAATCACACGAAAAGGTTGTTACAGTTCCCACCCAAAGGATTCCTTATTGGCTGTCAGAGTTCCATTTAAAAATTTAAGGTAATTTAACTGCTTCTGATTGGCCATCAAAGATGTCTGTAAGATATTGCTACAGTATCGTATGGCAGTAAACCAGAGAAGCAATGTGCACAAGATCGGAAAGTTGTGACTTAACTATCTTCAGTTTTCTGTTGAACATTAACAGAAGAAAAAAAAATTGGGTGGGGTACTCCATTAGCTCCAAAGAAAATACAGCTTCTTTAACAGTAACAAAGAGTGGTATCAATGGCCATACAATGGTTTTCAGGATTTTTTAAAAATATTTTTAATGATCTCAGAGGAAGAGAGGGGAGACATAGAAACACCAATGATGAGGGAGAATCATTGATCGGCTGCCTCCTGCACACTCCCCCCTCCCCGGGAGAGATCGAGCCCACAACCCAGGCATGTGCTCTGATTAGGAATCAAACCATCTCCTGGTTCATAGGTCCATGCAGGATTTCTAAAAAGGCATCTGTCATCGTGTCCACAGTTATTTTAAAAGCACATATTAATACCAGGGCAAATCACTTTATTTTGAAACAAACTAATCTAAATAGGAAAATTCTGGGGCAATGTATGAAGTTGGTGACAAAAACAGTGGCATTTCCAAAAAGTCTACCAGGAACCCAAGAGGGAAATATAATGATAAAGATGGGGAGGGGGGGGGGAAGACAAAGAAGATAGAACATCAGTGAATATAATGTTATAGCTTGATGGATTAACGAATTTATTTATCGTGGATTAACTAAATTATTTAGAGTGGTCATAAAATGTTGATTAGTTTTTAGTATTACACAGAGTTTGGTCCTGACCAGGTAGCTCAGTTGGTTAGAGTGCTGTCCTGATATGCCAAAGCTGCAGGTTTGATCTCCAGTCAGGGCACATACAAGAATCAACCAATGAATGCATAAATTAAGTGGAACAACAAATTGATGTTTCTCTCTCTCAAAACCAATCAATAAAAAAAATATATTACAGTTTTGATATAGAGCAGTGATTTTCAACCCTTTTCATCTCATGGCATACAAACTAATTACTGAAATTCTGCGGCACACCAAAAAATATATTACATTTTTGCCAATCTGACAAAAAATAGGTATAATTTTGATTCATTCACACTGGATAGCTATTGTTGGATTGTCATTTTTTTATTTGACAATCTAAGGTAAAAGAGGTTGGTGTCCCTGACTAAATAGTCAAGTATTGCATGTTTTAAAAATTCTTGCGGCGCATCAATGTGTCTCTTGCCCACTGGTAGAAAATTGCTGATACAGAGGGTAAATTTTTCTACCACATTTTCAAGAATAAACAGCAGGGATGATCTCAGCCTGAGCTATTGTAAATACAGGTATCCCCTGCTTTTCGAAAGTTCGCTTTACGCCACTTCATTTTATAAAAGACCTACATTAGTACCTGTTTTTGCTAACCAAAAGAAATTGAAGAGGATTTCTCTTTTACGAAGAAAAGCAAAAATAGCAGTCACTGTTTTGCTGCAAACACCTTAGCAGAGGGAGTGGCAGCATCAAGCTCCTTCCACAGGAACTACACTAAGCATCTAAGCATCAACCAGCTTTAAACTGTATCTGTGAGCATTTGTGCTTTATCTCGAGTTATTTGGGGCATCTATTAGCAAGATGTGTCCTAAGGTGATTGCTTCTTCACTTTACACTATTATGGCTTACATGGAAATTATCTACTTTCGGATAGCGGGGGAAACCTGCAATATTGTGGTTACTGAAGACATTCTGGGGTCCTAAAGTTTACCAGTGTTGGTCGAAGATTTACTTAAGGATTTTGGGTCCAACTGTTTTAAGAGGAGCATCCTAATATGGTGAAAATCCGTTAACATATCTTTTTTTTTCTTTTTTACAGAATATTCAAATAGAAACATCTCACTATTACCTAAGGCCTTTAACAATCTCCTCAGATCTGCTTCCTCCCACTAAAGCTAAGTAGCCCAAGACTAACTATCACATCTGTTTTACCAGGTAGACTAGATCTTTTCTAGAAATACCTCGGTTGATCTCATATGAGAGTTCATTATGGGCATATGCAGAGATTCGGTGAGTCCTGAAATAGAAGCAAGGCTGCCTATCCTATCACTTTGCCACTTTAATGTCTCTACACACATTCTACTCATATCCCACACTGATATGAAATAATTTCTGAACACCAACTAGTGCCAGGTTCTATGCTCAATACTTTATCCCTCCAATTCTCCAATCCCCTTTTATAGGTAAAAGAGCCATATATCTAGGATATATGGTCCCTAGCCATATATCTAGGATGCAAACTTAGGTCTCACCTAGGCAGAACCCTTTCCCCTGCATCACACTGCTTACCAAAACATGGAGCACTTCAGGACACATCCAAGGAAATACTTAGGTATCAAATGTATATACAGATAGCATAAACCATTATACCCAATTTCATTAATTCATTAATTTAAAAATCAGAAATCTGACATTGAATTTTATCTGTTGGTTAGAGATCTAGCTAAGTATCTGAAAACACAGACCACATAAATTGACACTTTTTTTTAAATCCTCATCTGAGGACATTGTCATTGATTTCAGAGAGGGAGGGAAGGAGAGAGAGGGAGAAACATTGATCAATTGCCTCCCATATGCCCCAAATGGGGTACGAACTCGCAACCTAGGTATGTGTCCTGATCAGAAATCAAACCTTCGACCTTTCAGTGTACTAGACGATGCTCCAACCAACTGAGCCACAATGTCCAGGGCAAGTTGATAGAAATTTTATTACTTAACTATTAAGAGTCTTTAGCCAGTAGCAAATCACATCTGTAACTTATAAGGACTTGAAATAACTAACAACTAAATCATTAGAAGTAGTGTACATTAGTTGATTAGAATGTCATCCTGATACACCAAGGTTGTGGATTCAATCCCCGTCAGAATACATACAAGAATCAACCAATGAATGCACAAATAACTGGAACAAATTGATGTTGCTCTCCCTCCCTTCCTCTCTCCCCCTTCCTCTGTTAAAAAAAAAAATCAATCAGTAAAAAAATATTAAGGGATTGCATGGCAATTTCACTATCGCATCTAAACAAGAGTTTAGTTATGCTAACAGGGTGTGTTGTGGGGCGAGTTCTGAAGCTACACAGAGTTGCAGACATTGCAGTTTTTTTCTCAAAAGTTTAGATCACAGATTCTGCCTAACTACCAGCCTGGGAAGAGAAAGCGGAAGGTCAACAGGCCAGTGTGTGCCTTATACACACCACACCCTCTTTTAACCCCAAAACGTGGGGGTCAAGTCAGCTTCAAGGAAGCAAAGAAGCTCATTTGAGGAGCGGGAGGCAGAATAATAGGAAAGACATTTTTACATCACTGATTATTAATCAGTGTCACTAAGGCAAAATAACACTCAGGAGTCAGGCAGAGCTGGATTCAAATTCTGATTCCTCTACTTATTAATTAACTAGGGGCCCAGTGCACAAATTCGTGCACCTTGAAAGGAATTGTGGGCTTCGAGGTGAGCACAGGGGCGGGTCTCAGCCCATCCTCCACACCCCCGCCTGGCCCCTCCCACCACAGCCCCCAGTCCCCTGTCTGCTGACAGCCCCGCTCCCCCCACCGCCCTCGACGTGGGAGCAATTGAGGCCAGCACCAGCAGAAGATGCGAGCAGGGCTGATGCCCGTCATGATTTGAACTCGCCTCCTGGTGGTCAGCACACGTCATAGAGACTGGTTGTTCGGTTGTTCCACCATTCGGTCTATTTGCATATTAGGGTTTTATATATATACTAGAGGCCCGGTGCACAAAAATTTGTGCACTCGGGGGTAGGGGGTCCCTCAGCCCGGCCTGTGCCCTCTTGCAGTCTGGGACCCCTCGGGGGTGACCACTTGCTGGCTTAGGCCTGCTCCCTGGGGGATTGGGCCTAAGATGGCAATCAGACATCCCTCTGGCAGCCCCGCAGCCCTCGGGGGATGTCCACTTGCCAGCGGGGAGCAGACCTAAGCTGCAGTCAGACATCCTTAGCGCTGCTGAGGAGGCAGGAGAGGCTCCCACCACCACTGCTGTACTGGCAGCCATCAGCCTGGCTTGTGGCTGAGCAGAGCTCCTCCCTGTGAGAGCGCACTGACCACCAGAGGGCAGCTCCTGCATTGAGCGCCTGCCCCCTGGTGGTCAGTGTGTGTCATAGTGACCAGTCATTCCCAGTCTTTCTGCTGTTAGGGTCAGTTTGCATATTACCCTTTTACTATATAGGATAGAGGCCTGGTGCACGGGTGGGGGCCGGCTGGTTTGCCCTGAGGGTGTCCCGGATGAGGGTGGGGGTCCCACTTGGGTGTCTGGCCAGCCTGGATGATGGGCTGATGGCTGTTTGCAGCTGGTCACACCCCCTTCAGGGTGGGGGTCCCCACTGGGGTGCCTGGCCAGTCTGGGTGAGGGGCTGAGGGCCGTTTTCAGGCTGGCCAGCGACTGAAGCTCCCAGCCTCTTTTTTCTTTCTTTTTTTTTTTTTATTCTGGGATTTATTTACCTTCTATAGCTGTCACTGGAGCTGAGAGCCGGCTCCAGCTCTGAGGCCCGGCTCCAGCTCTGAGGCCGCGGCTGGCTGAAAGCAGGTATCTGGGTTTGTTTAGCTTCTATAATTGAAACTCTGTTGCCATCACTGGCGCT